ACGAGGGTAAAGATGTATCCAGTTATGGACCTTCTTCTGTCAAGATCTCCTACATAGTCAGAATCTACATAACCGAGAATTGAAATACCTCCACCACTTTTTTGAAAGGTCAGACCAACACCAGAAGCTCCTTTGAGATATCTCAATATCCACTTGACAGCTTCTCAATGCCTCTTTCCTAAGATGGACATGTATATACTTGCCACACTTACATATTAAGCAATATCTGGACGCGTGCATTCCATAGCATACATAATGCTACCGACTGCACTGGCATAAGGAATCTTCGACATATGCTCCACCTCATCCTCGGACTGAGGCATTTGTAACTCTGAAAGTTTAAAATGAAGAGCTAATGGTGTACTTACAGGCTTGCACGTATGCATATTGAATCTCTCGAGAACCCTTTCAATATACCTCTTCTGAGAAAGATGTACAACACTGTCTTCTCTTGAAATCTCCATACCAAGGATTTTCTTTGCAACTCCTAAATCCTTCATGTCAACTTCCTTACTCAACAGTTTCTTCAAGGCATTTATCTCTGTAATGTTGTTAGCAGCAATAAGCATATCATCAACATACAACAGTAAATAAATCATTGAGTTACCAGACATCTTCTTGTGATACACACAGCTATCAAATGCACTCCTTGAGAATTCATGTGTAGTCATGAATGCATCAAACTCTTGTACTACTGTCTAGGGGATTGCTTCAAACCATATAAAGACTTCTTTAGTTGGCATACGTGATCTTCTTTTTCCTCAGCTAGGAAACCTTCAGGCTGATCCATATAGATTGTCTCTTCTAGATCACCGTGTAAGAAAGCAGTTTTGACATCAAGCTATTGAAGCTCCAAGCCAAATTGGGCAACCAATGGTAGTAGCACGTGAATTGAGCTATGCTTCACGACTGGAGAGAAAATCTCATTGTAGTCAATTCCCTCCTTCTGACTGAAACCTTTTGCAACCAATCTCGCCTTGAACCTAGCATCTTCAACTTCAGGAATTCCCTCTTTCTTTCGGTAGACCCACTTGCATCCAACTATCCTCTTCCCCTTTTGTCTTTTCACTAAGAGCCATGTCTGATTCTTGTGAAGAGACTCCACCTCTTCAGTCATGGCTAACCGCCATTGTACAACATCCTTGCAAGAAGTTGCTTCAATATATGAGGAGGGCTCTAAATCCTTAATCTCTTCTTGTGCAGCTACGAACGCATATGCAATCAAGTTTGCTTGATCTATAAGGCGTTCCAGTTCTCGTGTCTGCCTCTTCTCCCTCCCCTTTGCAATTACATATGGTTCATTGATAGCAAGTTCTTCAAGGTCTACATCTTCGGACTCATCTTTAACCTGAGTTTCTTGATCCTTTTCCTTGGCAAGCTCCACCAGAAGCTCCACCTGCTCGTCGTTCTTGTTTCCTTAAAACTCCATGGAAACTTTACGGGGATCAAGTATGGAGGATTAATCGAAGGTGGCATCTCTACTAACTATAAATTTGAGTAAAGACAAACACCAAAGTTTGTACCCTTTTACTCCATCCACATACCCTACGAATATGGCCTTCTTAGCCCTTGGTTCAAGCTTTCCTTCATTAACGTGATAATAAGCTGGACACCCAAATACTCGTAAGTATGAATAGTTAAAGGGTTCACCTGACCATACCTCATTCAGAGTCTTAAAGTCAATTGCCGATGTTGGAGATCGATTGACAATATGAGCAGTAGTGTGAACTGCTTCAACCCAAAATACTTTGGACATTTTGGCTTGTAGGAGCATACAACGAGCCTTTTCAAGAAGAGTTCTGTTCATTCTCACAGCAACTCCATTCTGCTGTGGGGTATGCCTGACAGTCCTATGTCTTGAGATCCCATGAATCTTGTAGAATTCATTAAACTCTTCATTGCAAAACTCCAAGCCATTGTCTGTGCGAAGATACTTGATTTTCCGCTCCATTTGATTTTCAACCAAAATCTTCCACTCTTTAAATACTTCAAAAGCATCACTTTTTGCCTTCAAAAAATGCACCCAAGCCTTTCGTGAGAAATCATCAATAAAAGTGAGAAGATACCTCTTTCTGCCCTTCGATGGAAGGTTAGAGGGACCCCATAAATCTGAATGGATGTAGTCTAGCACTCCTCTTGTCTTCTGTTTGCCAGTGCTGAAGCTGTCCTTCTTCTGCTTCCCTAGAACGCAGTGTTCACAGAAGTCAAGCATGCTGATCTTCTCACCTTCCAAAAGGTTACGATTGCTCAACATCTCTAGTCCACGTGCGCTCATATGACCTAGTCTCATGTGCCATAGTCTTGCCTTGTCATCATTAGATAACTGCACTATAGATGCATTTGCAGAGCCAACAATGGTGCTTCCGTCCAATGTGTAAAGGCCGTTCTCCAGCTTGCCTTTCAGCATGACTAAAGAACCTTTAGTCACCTTTATAGTTCCTGCTTCGCTCATGTACCTGTAGCCTTGTTCATCCAGAGTACTCAGGGAGATCAAATTCTTCTTAAGATCAGGAACATGACTGACTTGTGTAACAGTCCTCACGACTCCATCATGGCAGCGAACCCGAACTGAGCCAATGCCAACTATTGCACAAGTTGCATTATTGCCCATTACTACGGTTCCTCCACTATTCTCATAGCTGCTAAACCAGTCTTTTTGGAACGTCATATGCAGAGGACAAGCAGAGTCTAACACCCATTTTTTTCCATAACTAGTATTATTATTACACGATGTTGTTAGTACATAATCATTATCAAAATCATGTACCTGTTCAACTGTAAATGCACTCGCCTTTTCCTTGGACTTTGACATTGGGCAATCTCGTTCAAAGTGCCCCTTCTTGCCACAACCCCAACACTCTGTATTCTTCTTATTCACATGAGACTTTGATCTGTGTTTTGATTTGTTCTTTCCCTATTGGCTAGTCCGGCCTCTGCCAAAGAGCCCACTTGCCTGGTCATCTCTATCTCCTTCAATGTGCCTCCGCACATCACTAGAGTTAAGTGCCTGCCGCACTTGCTCAAGCTTGATAGGCTCCTTGCTATACATCATTGAATTCTCAATATCACGATATCCTGAAGTCAATGAAAATAGCAAAGCACATGCAAGCGTCTCCTCCTCCTTTTTAATTCCTGCAATCTGTAAGTCCATGACAAGTTTATTGAACGCATCTAAATGATCTTGTAACGAAGTACCTGACCCCATCTTAAATGTGTGAAGACGCCGTTGTAACAACATCCTTGTTGTCACTGATCGGTCTTGGTATAGCCCTTCTAGCTTTTCTCATAACTGTTTGGCCGCCTCTTCGGTACCCGTACTCACTTCACAAAGTACATTAGGTGCAAGGGATAGTTGGATTGCACTCAATGCATCCCCTTCAATCTTCTCCTTGTCGTGAGCTGATATATCCTTAGGATTCTTTCTGTCAATAACATGGATTGAACCTTCCCTCCGCAGTAATGCCATCATCTGGATCTTCCAGATATTGAAGTTGTTGCGTCCATTGAATCTATCAATTTCAAACTTCATGGAACTCATCTTTGTTTGTTCTTCCTCCTTGGATCATTAAAGAATCTTGTTGCTATGATACCAATTGTTAGCGGAAATGTAAAAGAAAGAACACAAGATTTAATGTGGTTCGGATCAAAATAATCCTACGTCCACCAGAGAACAGTTGTCTTTTTATTATTACCAAAGGAAGGGGAGAGTTCTCAATTACACTTAAGAGAATTTCTCTCTTAGCTCTGTACACACTACAATGTATTGTATTATTTTTGGGATGGTTTCTACAAATGAAGGAGTGCATCTATTTATAGAGGTAAAGACCTCCTCTTGATGTCATGGGTGACATCAAAGGAGGAAGTTTCCTTCTAGCATCCACACCAACTCTTTCCACCAACTCTTCCAATTGGCATGCCATTATTAACTAAACATAAACCAACACGCATATTGCTAGCGAATAAGGGCAAATTTCACATTAGAAAAATATAAAAGAAATGTTAGGTATATGAAAAAGCAAGCTTTACACACTAGTAATGTATTTTTAAGTTGTACAGGCCTAGCAAAACAAACAATATTTTTGGTGGGGCTGGATTTTAATACATTTGTTCTGCAATCAGAGAAGAGCAAATTAAATAAAATATAAGATGGGAGAACTCAATCAGTTAGTTTAATAAAAGGTAGCAATTTTGCTTTTCTGGAAAAGCGGAGTTCTAATGGGAACTGATTAACTTTACAAGAAATGGGAACACGAGCCCACCAGAGTTGAGAACCAATTAATCCTGTTTATTTTTTAATCTACAACTTTACCCATACTTTTCACGCAATTGAAAGAAGGAGAAATTAAATATTGTGATCTAAGACATCTGTAGCTTCAAATTTTGAACAGAAAATGGACGTATTGTTCCTAAAATAGAAGCTCGAACCCAAGATGAATATTTTAGCTAACCAGTGGCCATTAAATATCTTATGCATAGCATCAATGGCGAGGTATTCATATTTTGCTCCTTTCTGGTGAAGGAAGCAGAAAGGAAAATTTTATTTCTTTAGTGATGAAGTCCATATCATTGGAAACAGCCCCTCTACCTGCATTACGTAGGGGTAAAGTCTGCGTACAGACTACCCTCTCCAGACCCCATATATTGGGATCAAACTAGGCTTGTTGTAGTGATGAAGTCCATATCACATCAATAGATACTCATATCTTATATAGCCAAAAAATTGAATGTCTAACAAATCCAAAACTTCGTCAGAAAACTACGTACATTATGCTATGCATAAGTCACAAACAAGAAAAGCGCACACACTCAAGAATGAAAACTCTGGAAATATTAGATAAAGAAGTCAAATTTGAGCATCTCCGCAATCAAATTAAATGCCAAGTCTTTATTTATTCTGCATTTTAATTTGATTGCCCGGAGAATGTAACTGAAATATTTATAATATTAGTCGTAAATATTATAGTACACTAAGCATTAATTGGCGACCTAATAAAAATAACAACTAACCTATTATCTTTGGTTAAACCACACGAATTGCTTAAATAATCCATACTTATACCTTAAATTCATTTATTTATTTAGCTCAAATGTGTCTTTGTTTGGAATTTACGTAAAAGGCCTAAATACTCCCCTCTGTCTCCACTCAATGGCAATATATCAACCCCACCTTCAGTTCCCTTTGAAGCAACATTCATCTTTATAAACATCCCTCCATCAATAATTACAACCCAAGATTTCGAAAGATAATGGCTGATCTCTGCCGAGGCCGCCACCTAGTCCTTCTATGGGTTTTAGCCACACTTGTAACCATCTCTTCTGCTATGCCACCACCAAACCCTATCAAATGCGATCAAACAGATTGCCAACTTTCTAATTCCTACGGTATTTGGGGTGACAGAAAAATATGTCACGCTCCAAAAATTGTCTATCCCACAACAGAAGAAGAACTTCGACAAGAATTAGCAAATGCAAACAAGAACAACCTTAAAGTCAAAGTTGTCACAAGATTTTCACACACCATTCCTAAACTCGCATGCCCCGGTACTGGAGATGCTGCTGTCTTCATAAGTACTGAAAAATACGACTCAACTATTAATGTCGACGTGGAAAAACGTACTGCCACTGCTGACGGCGGAGTTGGACTCCGGAAGTTTATCGATACAATCGAAAAGGCGGGGTTGAGTTTAGTGGCCGCGCCATATTGGGAGGGAGTGACGGTGGCCGGAGTAATAAGTACGGGGGCTCACGGCAGTTCGTGGTGGGGCAAAGGAGGAGCAGTTCATGATCATGTTATTGGTCTCAGTCTTATTGTACCAGCAAATGAAGCTGATGGCTATGCCAAAATAATCAAATTGATACCACAAAATCCACTGTTCAATGCTGCTAAAGTTTCTCTTGGATTGCTTGGCATCATTTCTAAGGTAACAAACAGTTTTCTTTCATATTCTTTATATATATATTCACCTAATGTTTGTTTCCTTTTTATTCAATAAAATTAATTAGGACGGTTTAAGTTATTTTCCTGTCTAGTTTATTCGTATGTCCAAGTTGGTTTCATTCGATTGTCGTAATTCACATTTTTAAGAATTGATATCCTAACAGACTTAATGAAATTACTTTTGATCTGAAATTACGTATAATTAATTGGTTTATCAACTTATTCTTTTCCTCGGGAGCGTGATTAGTTCATTTACATTTTTTCGACTTATAAAATGTCTCTTTCTATAGCTGTAAAGTCAGTAATATATATATATATAGAGAGAAAAAGAAGTTATACTAGGGATATCAATATTTAAGAATTTATCTCAATTAAAGAGTATTATTTATCATATTTGCTTATTACTTTTAGGTAGACAGACTGGAATCTTACGAAAATTAAAAACAAAAAAGAGGCATCCAGCGCATAATTGGGAATTAACAAGTCACTTCATTTCAAATCGAACTTGTTCAAGCGATAAGCACTACTGCACTAGTACTGCATAATATCTGCCGGTGCTGCAAATAAAGTCCCCACAATGATCGATTTTTCATATTTAAGATAATTAAATCTATCCATCCATGGCCAGGCTGTGTGGTACTGGTAGGAGTTTGACATTAAACCCTATTATATCATTAAATGCAAAGGATAGGGACATAAACCCAACCTCTAATCCTAATTGCGGTTAAACGAGCCAACTATCTTGCTAAAGATGGTGTGACTATTCAATCAATAAACTACTTACTATACAGCTATATGGTAGGGGACTACTCCTCTTCTTACTCAGAGGTGGATCCAGGATTTGATAGTGCGGGTGTCACTGTATTTAATATAAACTTACCGATAGACAAAGAAGTTGAATTTGGATATACATGCATTTGGCTGGTTCGCTATATTTTAAATTAATTCAATTCGATTTGGTTAAGTTCGATCCATTTTGAGTTAATTTGGTTTGCTTTATAAGATCTTTTGGTGCATAAATAAACACATAATAACGAAACTGAATATATTTGGTCCTCTCAGGGAACAAATAATATTAACTAGATAAAAAAAGAAAAATAATTAAAAACATATTCATAGAAAAAATTTGAATGTAGAACAAGAAAACACAGGCAAATATACTTTTATAATCTAAAGAACTAATAAAAATGGGATTGTATATAGAGAAAATATAAAAATGAAGATAAAGGAAATTAGGAAAAAGAGGAGAAAAGAAAACAATCTGGAAAGAAGGAACTTAGAAAAGTAAAATTGGGTTAATATGAGTGAAACGAGGATCAATCTTGGGACTGGGCTTGGCAAGGGCTACCTTGACCATGGCACCTATAGCCATTTTGTGACTAGGGGTGCCACTAACTATTTATATACTTTTTCTACGTGAAATACTAGTGAAATACTAATGCTTACATGAAATTCTACCCGAGCGATCAGGTGGCGTACCACCCCATCACGTCTACATAGATCCGCCCCTGCTCCTAGTTACATAAGGTACTAAAAGTAAACAAAATAAAGGCGTCTTCCCCGTATATGAAATAGATTGTGGTACACCAGAAAGGAAAATAGGAGAATCTATTAAATTTGTTGCATATAAAAACGATAATGTTCTTCATTGATGCTTTAACTTGGGGGTCCAGATAAATAGCCTCAATGAACAGTATTGATCTGTCAGTCTACAAAAAGGTAAGAAGGTTCACATTGTACATCTTCATCAACAGGTGGTTTGAGAAAACCTGAACTGACCAGTCTCAATTGTCCTCCAATTTCAGTAGGGAGATTCTGGAACATAGATAAAATTTGTGTTCCTTGCATTTGCTAAGTATGACTCAACTTGGAGATAGAGAATCCGCTGGCCCATTTGGCCTCTCTATAATAGTACTTGAATTCAATCTGTACAAATTGATCCCTCAGGTTATAATTGATGCCATCAAGAACCATTTATAGGTGCCATGGGTGGATTGTGACCGTTGTTTCAATATAGTAGCTGAAAAGAAAAGAAAATTACATTTAAAGTATAGGGATAATCTTTGGTAAAAAATCATTCGGGTTTGACATAAAAATAGACAATATTATATTATGTTAAGAGTATCTTTATATTGAATTAGCCCGACAATATCAAATTAATTCTTAAAATAGTGTGGAAACGTAACACCATCAAAAGTACACATGCGAGACAATGGTGGAGCCATGAATAAATAAGGGGATTCCAAAACCAAAAAAAAACTCCTTATGCCCAAGAGGATTCAATAACCTGTATATAAGCAAAAAATTACTTTTGCCCTATTTAGATAGTATAATCTTCCAATTAAGGAGATTTAATTGAATCCCCTTGCACCCCTGTTCCGCTTCTGATGTGAGAAAAGTTAAAGTGCCCCTATATTAGGACACCCCACAAAATTGGAACGATACAAAGGAGAGCTAACCTGACCTAATTTTTTAAGTGTATAATATAATATTAACATTGTACCTGCAATTTTTGTATAGGTGACGTTTCAAGTGGAGCCAGCATTCAAAAGAAGTATAACATACAATTTCACGAATGATAGTGATATAGAAGATGAGTTTATGGAACATACAAGGAAGAATGAATTTGGTGACATTCAATGGTACCCTTCTAGACATACTGCTGTGTACAGATATGATAACAGAGTCCCCTTAAACACATCAGGCGATGGTGTCAATGATTTTCTGGGATTTCAATCCAATCTTATTCTGCTCTCTAAGTCTGTTCGAGCCACAGGTATTATACTATCTAATGATTAATATTATGGGATTTTTTTTATAGAAAGATTAAAATATCCATCCTTGAAGAGTCTAACACAGGAAATAAGCAAAAATCACTTAATAAGATATCAATTACAAGGTTAGTTTTTTTTTCTTTTCATTTTATATACCTAAGTTAATATATTCGACATGCAATCGAGAAATCCGGAAAATTTGATAACCTTTGTCATAGTTATCGTATAGTTTTGCTATTGGTAATGAAAGCTCAGTGAAGGGATTATGTGACCCCTATGATTAGTGTGATATTGTTAAAACACAATTTGTGGAGTTAACATTTAATTATTTGTACGTAGGTTAATGTATCNACTCAATTCGCTAGCATTTGTTAGTAATCTGTATTTGTAAAACAATTCTGGAAAATATAAATGAACATAAACAGAAATGTAAACGAAATAATAAAAACCAATTCGAGCCCACTGAATTCAAGTGTTTTCTTAAGGAATTTAATCTCCTCCTAGTACTCAAGGTTATGAATTATTTCCTCCCAGGATATAAAGAATTACACACTGGTGTAGTGGTACTTCAAACCCCAGTGTTTCAGCGAACACAAAGTTTGGTAGCAAATCACACTTACTGTTGCTTTCTTTGAAGTTAAAATATGTAGAAGAACTCAGAAAATTCGTATGGAAATTCTGAGCAGAATAGCCTTGTATTTATAGCCAAAGTTGGGCTGAAATCTGAAGAGGTGCAACTCTTCAGAATGGTTGTTTATGCAAAATGGCCACATCATAAATGTTATTACATAAATGGCTATTTACTCAACAATAAAGAGGGAAAATTGAAGAGGGTAGTTTAATTTTCAGTTACACAACTGAAAAACGGATTGAGGATTTAATATTAATATTATTTTAATATTAATATTCTGTTATTAAAATAAATATTTAATAACATTTCTGTTAATATTTTACTATTAACAAATAAATTTGGTCCAAAAAATTAATCAATCAATCGATCATTTGACCAAATCCAAATCCAAATCCAAATTCAAATTCAAATCCGAAGCCGAAGCCGAAGCCGAAGCCGAGCCGAGCGAGCGACGATAACGACGGTGTGAGGCTCGCCTTCTTCGCAACTCTTTAAGAGCTAGAAGAAGAACAATTGCTTATTTACCCATATAAAACCTTTTCCTCTTCCAATATGGGACAATGTTCCTTCATCAAGGAGGGAATCTCAAATGAAACTCAAATATTTCATTTTCCCTCCATTTTCCATTCACCCTCTTTTAAGTATTAATATACTTAAAATCCCAACAATCCCTACATGAATGGGGAATGGCTATATCACAGAAATATGCATGAAAAACTGTGTGATTCGCAAGCAAAGATTAATTGCATCTGGATAAGTAGGTTTCCCTTTGAACTTTCTGTAGTGAACTTATGTCGGATATACTCGGTCAATCGGTAGATTTGATATCTTTGAACCGTCGAACTTTGGTGTATACCTAGACAACCATAAGTCACACAATCAACCCTTAACCGTCTTTGGTTCTCATTGTTGTGTTCGTTTCAGCCATGAACACCTCATGGTTTCATAAGTGCGTAGAGAACTGGCATTACAAAGTTATCCTTGAAGCGGCTAACACTTCACACTTACATAGGTGATTCCTAAACGTGTCATCCCGTAGATATACTATTTGATATACCCCGTATCAAATTTAGAAATCATTAAAAGCCTTAATGTTTTATCCTTGGTACTGAATATTGTCTCATCACAAGAATGGACCAAAAGTTTAGTTGACAATATTGAACCATTATTAATGACTTTGTTTGATCTCCTTGAACCTAGATCTTGGGATCTCCAGTCTTCTAGGTAGAGTTACCGCTACTATGACTTGTTCTCGGCCACAGTCCCATTCTCCTTAATGATTTCTCAACTACCTCTCTAGTTAGGCCTTTTGTAAGTGGATCCAACACATTATCACTTGAGTTTACATAATCAATCGTGATAATTCCTCTAGAGAGTTATTGCCTAACGGTTTTATGTCTTTGTCGCATATGATGAGATTTACCATTATACATAACGCTCACAACCCTTCCAATTACCGCTTGACTATCGCAATGTATGCATATTGGTGCCAACGATTTGGGCCAAAATGGAATATCTTCCAAGAAATTTTGGAGCCATTCAGCTTCTTCACCGGCTTTATCTAAGGCTATGACCTCAGCCTTCATTGTAGAGCGGGCAATATAAGTTTGTTCGGATGACTTCTAAGATGTCGCTCCTCCACCAATAGTGAATACATATCCACTTGTGGACTTAGAATAAGTTGAATCGGTGATCTAATTTGCATCACAGTGTCCCTCTATCACCGCAGGATATTTACTGTAGTGCAAAGCAAAGCCCTGGGTATGTTCTAAATATCCCAAAACTCGTTTCATTGCCATCCAATGAGATTGACCTGGATTGCTCGTGTATCGACTCAATTTACTTATAGCACAAGATATATCTGGTCGTGTACAATTCATGACGTACATTAAGCATCCCAACACATGAGCATAATCCAACTGTAATATGCTTTGGCCTTTGTTCTTTGCTAATGCAAGATTCACATCAATTGGAGTCTTTGCAACTTTAAACCCTTAGTGCTTGAACTTTTCAAGCACTGTCTTAATATAATGAGATTGTGACAATGCCAGACCTTGAGGAGTCTTATGGATCTTAATCCCCAGAATTAAATCAGCAACTCCCAAGTCTCTCATATCAAACTTGCTAGTTAGCATACGCTTAGTAGCATTTATGTTGGCAATATCATTACTCATTATGAGCATATCATCCACATATAAGCAAACAATGACTATGTGATTTGGAACATTTTTAGTATACAAACATTTATCACATTCATTTATCTTAAACCCATTTGACAACATTGTTTGGTCAAATTTCGCATGTCATTGTTTGGGTGCGTGTTTTAGACCGTAAAGGGACTTAACATGTCTACAGACCTTCTTTTCCTTACCTGGAACCACAAACCCTTCAGGTTGTTGTCGCGCCCCCTTTTTTCTCGCGAAAATCAGGTTTATAACATTTTGGTTGGGATAACTCTTTCCTTTTGGGAAAGAGGGTTTGCATTTTTGAAGAGTCGCAACCTAACGATTTAAGGTGCGTTAGGGAACCTATAGGGTTCATTTATAACTACGTTTGGTAACCAGAGACAGGATAAGGGCTTGAAATTATCCCAATGGGAAGGTGTTAGGCACCTCTCAGGATCCACTAGTGTGGTTCCCGGCCAAACAATTTTTGTGAATTTGTGCAATTATCAAATAAACAAGTATGGCTCAAATAGTAGGGGATTTAAGCTTAAATACACAAGTGTTTGAAAAAATAGTTAATGAAAAGCAAGATTTTGAAAAGAATTACAATCTACACATATTTGGGAATGTAAAGGGGTGTCCTAGGTTTGTTTATAATATGGATCACATCAATGCAATACCCGGTATGACACTCCTCAAAGAGGGGCTACACGTGGTATTAATGCACCGGTCATCATATCCATGTCTACCCTTTCCCACCCCATGAAGGTAATTAAAGCGAGGGTTGGTCTTGGCCCCTATTGCATGCTGTTACCCATCCCTTCCTATCAATCCTGGAGCAATTTAGGACTCCTATCCTATAAGAAGGGGGTTCTAGGCAGACCCTCAAGTTTAAAGGCAAAATACTAAGGCGACATATAATAAACAAGTAGGACTTCAATTAAGGGGAGCATGAAAGACCAGTGAAAGGCTCATATATGCCTCCACACACAGTACATATAAACAGCATGACTCATACACAATTAAGGTCTAAATTCAGATCTTAAGCATGGTATCTAAGTGATAACAACAGAGTTAGATTTATAACATGACTCAGGGAAGATGTCCTAATCAAGCTTGACTACTGATTTTAACATGCTGACAGTCAAATAATAATCACAAAGACGGTTCTGATTTTATTTAAGCTATATACCTAAGGCTTGCCTAGGCGTAAAAATAATATGCAGCAGTTACCAGAATTATAAAACAGTTATTTTACCTAAAGCATGATGTTCTAAATGTTGCAAAGACATGCAGGATTATGACCAGTTTCACTTAAACAGGATAATCAAACGTGAGACTGTTTTATGCCTTTTTCATGCATCAATAGTTTAACTAGGTATGACTGAGCGAGTGTAAACAAGATCTTAAAACAGGGTATCTAACGTGCACATATGAAAAAATACAGAATGATTACAAAATTCCTAAAGCATGATTTCTAAATGCCTAAAGAGTTACAACACGACTTCAAGATGTGCAGAAGCAACAGTTTTATGGTGATGTTGTCATTTAGCCTAAAGCAGGAATTCTAAGTGGTAAAGTGATGCCAAATGAGATGCTAAAACAGTAAACCTAAGAATATGGTAGCTAATGCATGACATGTTTCGAATGGGTTGATCTTACACATGGATTCTAATGCACATATAGGAAATGTAAACCTAAGACATGTATTCTACCCATTGATGTTGATAGCATAACTAACTACCCTACCTTTTCACTAGCCATCCCAATCTTGTTCACAATAGATTATTACAGACCAATACTGAAATGAATTAACATAAGTATAAACGAAAAATAAAAAGTAAAAAGCTACACTATAGAGAGCCTGAAGATAGGCCTAGATCCTCAACACCTGATTAGGACTTCCTCTCTGAGTTATGTAATAAATAACCTCAAGTGCCAAGATTGTTTCATATTTTTTCCTTATATCTGGGTGTGTCAGAGTTCCCTAAGGACCTTAAGGGATCTCGGGCAGTGCTCACAACCAGATTTCATAGCCAAGACAGAGTAAGTGCAGTGTGGAAAGGCCAAATTTCATGTGTCCAAGTTTAGAGGGAGCTCAAGGGTCCCAAGGCAAGGCTCACACAAAAGGGACAGAACTTAGTGGTCTAAGAGTAGAGTGAGAGTGCTTGTCATAGTGTTGTAAAGATTTAAGTAAGAAAATAGTTTTGATAATGATTAATTTGAAATAAGTTTTGGAAAGCAATAGAAGAGTTTGCCTTAGTAAAACCAGTTTGAAGCAGAAAAGAAACAGGTCAATCAACAACTCAAAACCAAATCAACATACATAGTTCAAACACAAACAGGGAAAGGAGGAATTGGGGACAAATATGGAGCATGTGAGGGCAAACATGTAGCATGCAGGAACATATACAAGAACACAATCAGAAACTCCTACACGTTCAGAGGATCAGGGGGGGGCAGTAGGGTATTGGATTAAATTAACATCA